ACACACACACACACACACACACACACACACACACACACACACACACACACACTTCTTATACACAATTACATACATTTTACATATCCATATAACTCATTTTTATGTGGCTCAAAATTATTCTTGTGTTAATGCATACTCATCTGCAAGACCTGCTGCTTCAGATGAAGAGTTAGCATTACATTCATTAACGTAAGCTGCAACATGCTCACGAACTGAATTTTTTGAACTGTTCAAGTATCACTAAGTCACACAACGCTTCATATGTGGTAACCTCAGAAGCTGTACACCAGTGGTCCCCAAACTACGGCCCGCGAGCCGGATCCGGCCCGCCTCCGCATTTGGTCCGGCCCCCTGAAAATACCACAGAGTATTTTGATTTATTTTTCATCGATGTGGATTTGTATTTGATCACAAAGTTGGGCTTTTGCAATAAAATGTTCCTTAGTTCTGAACCGTTTTCATTATTAACTATTAATTAGTAACTATTTCATCAACACAGATACAATAAGCTGACATTTGGTGCATCTTTCTGTGCCGTTATCTGGCAACGCCAGAAAAAAAATCCGAAACCCGCCACTCTCTCAGAGAACGGGATCATGGCGAAAAGGTTCGGTAAGAGAAAAATAGAATGCACGGTATTTAACCCAAAGTGGACAAACGACGTTTTTGTTTTTGTTTCTTTCAGCGCAAAGAAACGTCTGTCAGTCTCATCTGTCAAGAGGCGGCTTCATTTTGTGTGGGTTTCTGGAAAACAATCCATTTTTACATTTCCGTACTCTTGCGGTCACCCTTTTTCTGTTCAAGAATGACCCCGGCCCCCCATCACAGAAGCGAAAGCTTATGCGGCCCTCACAGGAAAAAGTTTGGGGACCGCTGCTGTACACCATCGATTGAGAGGACAAGTCAAATCACGCACATATTCTGAATATGTCTGACCATCAAATTTCTTCGTCTACGGAAAATGATACGCCTCCGGCACAAGCTCTAGACTGAAGACTTAACTGTAGCATAAACCTTAATGTCAGCTACACTCAGTCCTGAAAAAGCTTCACATGCTATTCCTGTGAGGGCACGCTGCAAAAACACAGTTTTACCTCCATCAGACCAAGCCCTGGAGTCATTAATACCTCAAAACAGAGTGAAATATCAGGATCTGACTCATCAAAAGAAGGAAAGAAATTAAGATTCTGGACATCAAACTGTGAAACTCTAATGTCAACCCAGGTTTATTTTTTCTGGTCCTCTTCTGTAGTTCAAGTTGCATTTGTAACTCCCTCAAATCTAACGCCTCTGCTGCTTAAAGGTGAGTTCTGAACGAGGCTGAAAACTGGCAACCAGATTGCTACTTGAATGACCATTAAGCACACCTGCTTCCACAAGTCACTGTTTTCAAACAGAATTGACAGTATATTTAACTTTTTATCAACTATCTCATCCTCAAAGTAATCAACAATATCAATTAACTGCTCTTTACGGCATAAATCGAAAGCTAATTCAGAAGATGATTTCACACACAAACTTTGAGCTGAGTGAAGGCCTACATTTGAAAGGCATCGGCCTCCACTGGTTTCCAAGTATCTCTTTTTGTATTGGTAGTTTCATAGGACAGTATTAGTGCAACATTAAATAAAGTATAGGTACTGTTTCCATTTTAAAATGCACCAAATATTTACAGCTATAAATTTAAAGGCCACAGTATCACTTCAATTTAAGTTGCATCATTTACAAACATGTCAGGAGTGCTGGTACAAGCTGCAAAGATAAGAAAATTTGAATGTACTGTCATCTTAATACTTCAGCTTAACTATCATGAATGTGTACATACCTTGTACGCTAATGATGGTTATATGAGAGCAGCTGATTACTGGTGCGATATGCCTTGATTTTATATCTTTTATTAGTCAACCAGTCGCAACTCAAGCCAGAACTCATTCTGTGGTCAACTTCCCAGAAACTCTTGCATACCCATGAATTTACTGGGTGATGAGAAGCTGGCATAAGCGTTGGATTTTTTATATTTATTGTAAATACCATCACCAGTACTCAAGATGTTCCCCATGCAAATGGTTTGTCGCTATGACCACAATCAGGCTTCTAAATAGAACAGGGGCTTAAGGAAAGGCCTTTCAACAAAGAGTGAAGTTGCTTTCAGAGACACCGGAGCAGCAACCGGCTAGGGATCAAGAAAGACAACCATAACTGAGTTTGCAAGGTAGGTGTAACTGCTGAAGAGGAAAAACAAGGGCACCCGTGGGACGCCAGTTGTCCTCAATGGGCCCTCTGAAGTTGACAATGTTTGTCCCCCTCTCACACAAGAAAGACATCAAGCCAGAAGCTGTGTTGACTCGAAGAGGGTTTTTCCATCAAAAACTATAACATCTACATGTATAGTTGCTCTGAAATAAAAAAAAAAAAAAAAAAAAGACGCTGGAGACACACCTTCTTATGAAGGCAGTTGGGAGTCAAGTCATCCTGTTGAGGCAATGAGTCCCCTCTACAGATCCCATAGCACATGGCAGCCACACAAAACCTGAGCGATTAAAAGATTGGACATGTCACATAATGACATGCAGATTATATGTAATTACATTTTGGGGCCATATTTTGGAATTTCCGGACTACAAGGAGAACAGCTCAAGATGAAACAGCTACATTGAGCCATTAAAAAAATATGTATGTATATTGGCCGCGATGCTTCATTATCCCCGGGTCTCCATGTTATAACATGGAATATTTGCAATGAAAAGAGGTCACATAGATGGGTTTAAATGAAATAAATCAAATTGATTACCTTAAACGCTGATAAATGGTTTTTCCAATGTCGACTACAGCTAGTTACAGAGAAGCCTGCCAGAAAAGGAATTCATTACTATATTTATCTTCCTCTTCCTGCGCACAAAACACACCACAGCCCTCTTCTTCAGCGTCAGAAATCAACAGCCGCTAAACTCCTTCATGCACACGTTCACAGTCTCTCTTTCATTCACGCTTACTGAGAGGCCAATTCTGGTAAAAGATTTCATCATCATTATTAAATTTCAGCATGAGACTCAGCATGATTCAAAGCATGGGGAAAAAAGTATTGGCTTATAGTCCGGAAATTACGACCCTTATATCATAAAAACTTAAAATTCACCTGACACAGAAGTGCATACGGGTGTTTGTGTTGCAGACGAGTGCTGAGCTAAGAGCCTCTGAGACAGATACTGGGTTGGGCTGCCTTTGCGAAATCAGTTGTACTCCAGGACTTTGGGACATGGAGGCATGGAGCTGGACCAGAAAAGCTGCTAGACCAATGATGTGCACGTCACTCAGCACGGTCCCCTTTAGAAACAAGACATCTTATAAAACAAGTGATACTTAGAATCGAATGCACATGTTTACACAGCATTACATAACATAGGCAACACGAGTTTCTGACTTTACTCTTAAATTGAAAAAAATCGTATAACTTTGATGTGATGATCACTGCAATTTGTCTGCATAGTAATCACCACTGGATCACCAGTTTCATTGCCTCAAAAGCGTGTGTGTGTGTGTGTGTGTGTGTGTGTGTGTGTGTGTGTGTGTGTGTGTGTGTGTGTGTGTGTGTGTGTGTGTGTTTAAAATATGGGCTGCACGTCCGAGGACTGGTTAGCACGTCCACCTCCCAGTGCAGAGGTCTGGGTTTCGATAGAGGGCCCCGGCCTTCCTGTGTGGGGGAAGCATACTCTCCGCGTGCCTGTGTGGGATTTTTCTGGGTACTCCGGTTTCCACCCACATCCCAAAAATAATGCATGGAAGGTTGATTGAAAACTCTAAATTGTCCCTAAGAGTGATTGTGCGCATGAATGGTTTGTCTATGTGCAATTGGCTGGCAACCAGTTCAGAGTTGACCCAGTCTACTGCCTGATGACAGCTAGGATAGGCTCCAGCACGTCGGCGACCCTCATGAGGAGAAGCGGCTCAGATAATGGATGGATGGATGGTGTGTCAATGTTTGTTTGAAAAATCTAACAAAAACTAACCGAAATAGACTTGCTTTACACTAAGCAATGCCGATAAAAGCCATTTGGTGAGACTATCACTCAGCAAAATCCTTGTTTCCTCATTGCCAGGTATTTTCAAAAGGTGAAAAGAATATATCAATGTATTCTATTTATTATGGTCATTTTTAAAATACATTTAAAATAGTACATATACATTTATAAAGAGTACGCTGCTACAACCTCTTGTGTGTAGTATCATAATCTGAATTGCTCCAGTTTCAATTAATTGAACTGAACACATAAACAAAGCAATGGTATGGAATAAAAACTGCAACACTTTCCAACACTTTGATTTGACCCCAAAATCAGAGTCTTGCTTTTTCAAGAAAATACAAGCAGACATCTGCATACCTGGTTATGGAGCAGATGCCAAAGTCTTTGTAGAAGGCAGGAGAGGAACTGTGTGTTACAAACTAATACACACACAAACTTGGAAGCCCACATATTCTGTCTGATGAGACAAACACAGAGTGATTGCATCACAGAATTTTAAAGAGTTAACAATTTCAACACTTGTTTAATGCCATGTATTATGTCAGGGGTCACCAACATTTTTTTTTTTTACTGAGAGCTACCTCTTGCGTAGTCTGTTGAATAAGGTGAAGGGCAAAAATATCTTCTTCTTGTGCTCAAATATATTTTACTGACATATAATTATCAAAGATCCTGTATAGTGAATTCAGAGATGTGTTTCTAAATACATTATTGATGTTTGAAGATAAGCACAGAAAACATGTGTAAAGACTGAGCTGTGTGTTGGCTCTCCCTTACTATATAACAAATACGCAGCTGTGTTTGATATGTGGCTGTATGGCACAGGTTTGAGTTATTTTAGCGAGAATATTTGGGCCATTACTGCCACTACTGCATGCCTCTTCCCTGGATGCTACAATTTAGAGAACAGCACAGAGTCATTATTTTAATTCCCAAGTGGTGTGTATTATCTGTTCTTAATAGTGACGCGCCAGGCTTCTTGTTCTGTCTCCCCCATGTTGGTTATTGCTATCTTGTCTATGTTCCTCTGAAAGGGTTGTAACTGAGAAGAAAATTGCTTGTGTGTTTCTTGCATACATGGCCAATAAATCAGATTCTGATATACTGTATACCATAATACAGCATGTTGAAAAAAAAAAAAACATTGTGGGGGTTGATAACTGGCAGGAAGTATGTGCTCAAACATCTGTCAGGTTGGGTGAAGGACAGGCTGAATAACTGTGATGCTCTTTTTTTTTTTTTAACATGCCCTCACACAACACCAAGCGGGGAGGTGACAAGCAGTTGTAGACAACTCCGCTGCCGGTCCAAAGCGTCTGAAAGCTGATGAGTTTAACAAGATACAGATACGAAACAAGTCAGCATCAGTATGAAACTAGAGGTGTCAAATTATTGTCTTAATTGCGAATAATTAATTACATCACATTTAGCATGTTTTTTTTTTTTTTTTTTAATCACGTTAATCTAAATTTTAATCTCTGCCTTTATTGTTTCTGTTGGTCGGTTGCCTTTTTCTAATAGCCCTTTTTATGCGTTGGCTTCCTGTGCTCGAGTTGTTGAGGGTGGGGAAACAACTGTCAGTCACAGCCTGAAGCGGACATTGATTGGCTGCCATTAAGTTGGGGCTTGTTTAGCCGAAGCTGATAGGCTCCCATTGGAATTGGGCAGGCTTAGTAAAGCAGCGGTGAGGAGTACGTGAGAGTTCTCGGCACAATGAATGGAAAATTTACATTCCAAAAACACCCTGATTACACAATTTATAAAGGTAGAGTGTTGTGCCTAATTTGTAAGGTGTTTGCTTACCACCAAAGCAGCTCAAATTTAGCCTCCCACATCAATGCAAAGCACCCAGTCTCGAGTGCAGCCACAGCTAACGTTAGCACCGAAAGCGTGAGCAATATAGCAAGCGAGTGAGCCATACATAGCAAAGCGCTTCGGCAAACTAAACTCGAAAACACCCCATGTACGAGGCATAGTTGATGTGTCCTCTGGAGACGACTAGAAGTGATTGATGTTTATTTCAGCACCTTTAGTTTGTCATGATGAACAGTGTTATTTCTGAAGTGCTAACTAGCAGCACTGCGATTTAAGGGTCTGTTTTATTTATTGTTTATTATCTGAAGCAAGTTCATTGTTGGGTACTTGTATTGCTCAGAAAATTGTTCTCACTGTTTTTGATATGTTAACCTAAGCTCTTTTTAAGGACCTGATGTTCTATTTTATTGTTATTTTGTAATTCTTTGGAGATTTACAAAAACAAACAAAACAGTGACATTCCCCTTCGTGGTCGAAACTAAAGGTTGCAGGTAGGACTTTGACTGGTCTTAAATACAGCATAAAGTAAATGGCTAGGACTGCATCCGTCCAAGTCTGCTGAACAACAATAAAACTTTATAATGCCACTTTTTCTTTTATCTTTTGATCTGCCTCAATAATGTAACGAATTTAAAATGAAAATAGGGGTTTTCTCAGTAATTTTTAGATGAGAATAAAATATAGATTAGATTAATTAATTACAGCCCCCAATTAATTAATCACCTTTTTTTAATCGCTTGACAGCACTATATGAAACATTAAATATTTCTATTAATCTCCGCAAGTACAGTATTTACATTTTCAAATGATCACTACTGTACATTAACAATATTTCTAGAATATGACAATGTAGCATCACCTGTGACCTATTTGTTGAATGCGCTTGTGGTTAACTCATGCGGTCCTTGGGGATTATCTGGTGTCCAATAGTGGTGAATGCCGTACAATGTGAACACTAAATAGGTGTGCATTATGTCTAGTGTTGAAACAAGTAAAGCAATATCTATTTTTATTTTTCAAAAAGGAGTGCTTACTTATTTGGAGGGTGTGCTTTTGAAGTATCTAAAATGCACTGGCAAAAGTTTTTTAAAACCACATCGACAACCTGAGGATGAGAAGGAGAGAAGACTTCCAAATCAGTAATATGAATAACAAATGCACACAAAGAGCAAACTGCAAACGGTGAAAAAGAGTGGATTTCAGCCCATACTTGCAAGTGGAGCTCTGGCAATGAAAGCATGTCAGTCTTCAGTTGGATGATATTCTTTTCCAAAGGGTCATCAGGAAGACCAGGAAAAATGAAGCTCAGCGTGTTGGAGATCTTTGACAAGTGAGCCGACATATCTGATGGAACATGGTCAACGTTAAATATCAGGAATTTCCAACTTGACTGATCCCTCTTATACTTCATAACCACATTCACAGAAGGCTGATTTCTGCATATTAAGGGTCTTTGTACACTGCAGTTGGTTATCTTGGTGATTGCTGCGGGGCACTGTGCAAGGACGATTGTACCCCTGGTACAAGCTTTTCCTTTGAAAGTGTTTGTGTAGAACCCTACCAGGAAGTAACATGGAAGGCCTTTCCCTCTGGTTGGTCGATTACTGTTAGCACACTGAACACACTCCACCAGGCTATGCCCCTCTGCTATTTTTTGCGTCTTCTGATGTCACCGCAAAGACACTCTAAAACTGAACATTTTACAGTTTGACATTGCATTGTGATTGATGCACAGCCCATGCCCCATCTTGTGCATCACGCAGCAACCTCTGATTTCCTAAGTCCTTGCATCTCAAAGGCTAGAATGTCTGTGTATTAAATTTGAAACCCATGTGTAAATCCCAAAACTCACTCATGAACTACAAACAAGCCTGGCTGAACGCCAGATGGCACAGCCATGATCCAGAAACCCACCGGACATCATTTTCATCAGGTCAATGCAGCAAATTAAGGGAGATGTGCTGACCTCCATTAAATCCCTGTTTTTATTTTTTTTTGTTTCAGGCCAGGACATTCATATTCTGGACAATCAAAGTTGCCAAAATGTTCCTCTTGCAAATATAAGTTCAGGATGTAAAACTTCTTGGTTAATGCTTTAAATTGTTAACTAACATAGACAATGTGGAGGTGCATGATTACCTGTCAGGTCGAAGTGCTGATTTTGTTTTTATTTTTTTTGTATGCAAGCACAGAGATGTCAAACCCTGTCATTACCTCTGAAGGACATTCTGGATATTCTGTCACCAGGCAGTACACCCTGGACTGGTTGCCTGCCAATCGCAAGGAACACATAGACAAACAACCATTCGTGCTGACAATCACACCTAGGGACAACTTACGAGTTTTCAATCAACCTTCCAAGCATGTTTTTGAAATGTGGGAGGAAACCAGAGTACCCAGAGAAAACCCACATAGGCACGGGGAGAACATGCAAACTCCACACAGGAAGGCCGGAGCCGGGATCGAACCCACAACCTCTGCACTGTGAGGTCGATGTGCTAACCACTCGACCACCGGGCCACCCCATTTGTTTATTGTAATCAAAATTATCATTAAAAACCTATTAAAATCATTAAAAATCTTGACAAGAGCAGTCTGTGCTGTGTTTTATCCGAAAACCGGATTGGAAATGTTCACAAACAGTGAAATTCGTTGAGTTGTTGAGTTGAACAAAAACTAGCCCCCCTAAAATGTTGCTTAAAATATTGCAAAGAGTGATAAAATCTAAATGGTTCTTTTTCAAAAGTGGCCCTACCGCAGAGAGGCTGCCCATCTGAAGAGAGCAATTTATAATGTTTAAAACCGCTACCCAAAACAGTCCAGAAATGTTTTAAAAGTGATGTTGGGATGGGGTGGAGAAGACGCGTTGGGCCTCATAGTAGAGAGAACTCTGTCAGGCACCCCCCACATTAACCAGGGTAAAACCGTTGAGTATTTCTTCAGGTAAAAAAACAAACATTTGTATTTAAAACCATGTTGCAATTTGATAAAATATATTATCTGATATTGTCAATCTGTCCTTTAAAGTGGCCTGCATAATCGTTACAAAAAGAATTTATTCGGTGTTAAAAAGAAGAGCTTGATAATCAACAGGATCTTTACATTAGCTAAAAATACGCATTTACGGCATTGCTAGGCGAGCATGGATGTGAACAACATTGCACATTACAATGTACACAATAAACTGTACATTCCTTGAAAACCCATTGGGAGATTGACGATGTACTAGAGAAGGACAGAAAGCACACCGCTTCCTTGAACATCTTCAAGCGTGCGCAGGCAATTAAATTGTGGGAGGAGCCACACACTCCCACTCTTGTTAATTTTGAATTCAAAACAGAGTCATTTATTCTTCATGTGTGAATCTACCTCCATCATTTCCATCTGGGACAAGCTTTCTTTGCTCCTGCAGTTGAAGTTTTAGGACATGTAGAGGGTCATCATGATCCTCCTCACGGAGGGAACACCCTGCAATCATAGCATTATGTCAAATTATAACAAACATTTTCACATTATTGTGTAGACATGTGTGTGCACATGTACTGCAAATTAACCTACTTGCTTGTTGTCTTAGTCTCTGACAAGATTCCATGTATGACGAATACTGTGGGGCAGGAATCTTATCTGCTCTAAACACATGATTACAACATAACATGTATAATTATCAGAGTTCACTTATCGTAGTTGTCGATTCTCAAATACAACCATTTATCTTAAATCAGTCACTACATAAAGACAAACATTTGATGATCATTACCGATAAATATAAAAAATTTCAGTTTTTCACAAAATAAGCAATGACGTGGAATTGGAATGAAACAAATTGTCTTTATTTCAAACAATAAGTTTATATTGAAATTAAAATGGAAATGAAAAATTATCGATAGGACAATCAAGGAATAAAATAAAAATAAAAAATATGGCAAAGGCAAAGCAGACTCTCACATGCTCGATACGGAGTTGAGTATAAACTTATCTAGTCTTACTCCTTAAATAAGATCCTACTTTTCCTATATTAGTACAGTACTCATTAAAAAAATATGATTACTACAATTACACAATATTTATTAAATATGCAGATATAAATAACTATAACTATATATGAATATTACAAACCATTATACAAATAATTCTAAACAGCGACTGGACATACAACATTCTACGATATAAATGTCATGTCTGTCTTTGTTGTTTCAGCTCCAGCTGGAGTGAAGGGCATTTCTCTCCAGGAGGCGCACCTGTTCCTTGTTCCCAGTCAAATCAAGTATTTAAGGACTGCTAAGGTGTTGTTTTGTTGACCTCTCGATCTCGTTCGTGGTCGATTTGCTCTCTTTGTTCCTCGTTTTGTAAGTACAGTCATACCTCGGTTTTCGACCATAATCCGTTCCAGAAGGCTGTTCGAAAACTGATTTGTTCGAAAACCGAAACCACACTCTTTTTAAAAAAAATAAAAATCTTTATTGAACACGTCTGTTCACCATGGAACGCTAAACGAGGAGGCGTCACTTTCTCGTCTACCCGAGGAAGCGTCACTTCCTCGTGTAAGGAAGGCGAGAGAAGTCAAGTGATGCATTCAAGTGCGCTCAGTTTGTTCGAGAACTGAAATTCGGTCGTCATTCGAGGCATGAAAACCTTGAAATTTTTGGTCGTAAACCGATTTGGTCGAGAACAGAGATGTTCGAAAACCGAGGTTTAACTGTACTGGTATTTAGTCTTTTTTATCTTGTTCTTGTTTTCGTGTAAATTGGACTCTTGTCATTTCATAGTGGTCTCTGTGCAGATGCCTGACCCCCTGTAATTTTCTACCTGTCTGTGACCCACCCCAAATAAATCCACGAACCACTTTTCGGTCCTGATCCCCCAGTTGAGAATCACTGATTTATTGTGTATTGCTTACAATGTAATACAATAATAAAAATCATGGGGACTTGGGAATAAATAATGAATCATAAAAACAACAAGGCACCATAAAAATCTCAAAGCACCACAACTAGCATTTAAAACAACAATAGCAGCCAGGTACTCACCTTTTCAGGGCCTCGATGAAGCTCATTTGAGCATCTGCTTTCACAGGTAGCTAAAATTGTCAGAAGCAAATCTGCATCATTTTGAGACATATGAGACATATTCTGAGACATTCTGAGATACAGAGTATGTTCAATTACTATAATGGATGACATAAATATAATGAGCGAATATACCATGGGCAACTGCTTATGTCAAATGATTACCATTGATCCTACAGTTCTATAGAACTGATATACAATGTAAAATTATTCGACCCCTTCATGAACTGGAATAAAATCCTACAATAACATAACCATACCCCTCCTTGACCTGGCACCTTATAATAGGACAGGATCTTATGTGTCCCAGTGATCTTGGAAATAATTTTGTCAGGTGATTTATAGCCCTGATAGGGTCACCATGGAAAAAGAGATCCAGATGAGGTACCAGAGAACATATGGCTCAGAAACCCCTTTGATGAAAAATTTAATAAAAAAAAAAAAAAAAATACTACATTTCCCTTCACTCAGACGAGGGTCACCTGCGGTGCTAGGCATGGAGGTGGGGCTGAATGGTGATTGCTTGCATCAACTGGGATGGGGTACTGTTGACTTCAGACTGTGGACATTGGGAAAACCTATGAGCTTCCACGGACAAGCCTTCCAATTAAGAAACAGAGCCTGGGGACTCCAAAGTGGGCTCTCCTATTTCTACAGTTAAGGTTGCTTAGGTGGTTAAAAAGTGTCTTGGTGCAGAGTTCCAAGGGTGGGCATCAAATATAGCCCGCTTGTAGCTTGTCCAACATTTTTCCTCTCAAACAGAGTTCCTTAAGGGTCTGGATGTTTTGGGGCTGTCTTGGTTGATCCACCTCTGAAACATGACATGGATAACAGACACAGTGTGTCTGGATTGCAAAACTTGTGTTATCTCTTTTTTGGATGGGGTACTGGAGGGTATTTTCCAGCTATAGAGTGATCACTGTTATGATCACACTCGTCAGCCTCGCCTCCGACAGTATAGGGTACTGGGCTCCCTGATACAGTCCAATTGGTCCTTGTACAAATCGTGTTTCAGTGAGGATTGGAATCTGGCTTTCCTATGTTCTGTTCAGAACCTTCAAGGAGAGACATTCTAGTTGCAGCCAAGGCGGGAAGGGGGTCGGGTTTGGTGACCAAAGTATTGCATGTTTTGTTTTTTGTTTTTTTTTTGCCAGCGATATGTTTCTGAAAGTTCAATAATTTCATGACCTTCAACTCTCGCTGGGGAAGATTACAGCTGCATGTAGACTGGCTGGGATGAGAACCAGCACCTCCAAATCTGAGAACATGGTCCTCAGCTGGAAACGGTTGACGTGCCCTCTTTCAGTTAGGTATGAGATCATGCCCCAAGTGCAGGAGTTCAAGTATCTTGGAGTCTTATTCACAAATGAGGGAAGAGAGGCGCAAGAGATCAACATGTCTCGGTGTGTATCTAATACATACTCTGTACTGGTCTGTCGTAGTGATGAAAGAGTGAGCCGAAAATCAAAGCTCTCACTTTACATTCCCAATCTCACCTATGGTGAAGAGCTGTGGATAGCGACCAAAAGAACAAGACCCTGGGTGTCTTGCCTCCTCCGGAGAGATTGGGTGAGAAGCTAGGCCATCTGAGAGGTGTTCAGAACGGAGCCACAGCTCCTCTACATTGAGAGCAGCCAGAAGAGATATTTCAGGCGTCTGGTCCAGATGCCTCCTGCTGAGGTGTTCAAGGCACATCCCACTGCCCTCGGCCGCTGAAGGGGCTGAGACATCCATGGTGGGCATATTTAATGTTTGATAAACATGCATGTCACTTCATGGATGCATTCCCACCATATCACAAATCAAGTTTGTTTTTAATCATGTGAAGGACCACATAAAAAGATTTAATAAATAATATCCACAATCCAGCGTGAATGTCCTTTTACGCACACGCAGTTCGAGTATGCAGACCAACAAACATCATTAGTGACCTCTTAGTGACCCAATTTGGGTATAAGAGGCAGGTCCCATACAATCTTGTCGCACAAACATGAGGATTCTCCAAGACACACTGGCAGTCCTTCAGGATTCACAGAACCGCAGTGACCTAATGTCTCTCTATTTTATCCATGCTACCTGCTGGAGGCAGTGCTTAACAGCATGGAATGAATAATACCAGCATAGTCACAAGGAATCCCAACACACCCCATGGCCTCTGAAGAGATGAAGACCATGCCCAGTGGATGGGCAGAAGCGACAGCCATGCTATAAAATCTGTAAAAAGCGCCGGCCAAATGGGAACCCCAGCAGTAGCATGTGGCTCTCCTGAAGTATCAGTCAAATCAGAAAAAGTGGCGGAAAGGCATAGAGAAGGCAACACTGCCAAGAGTACGCCAGCGCATTCTGGCCCTGAGGCTGGTGGATTACCTCAGGGAAAATCAAAGGGGACAGTGGATGGAGTACTGAGAGACAAAGAGATTAAAACCCGCTCGGCCAGAAACAACCCCAAAATGTGTGCACCACCACTGGATGAAGGCGCCACTCCCCCAGAAGCGCGTCCTGATGGGTGAGAGAGTCTCCAAGCTGGGTCAAGCATCAGTATAGGTCCCCCAGACTGGTCAGACGAGGGGCATCCCATCTAAAAAGGCGCTGGGAGGCCTGCAACAGCCAGGAAGACCTCGTGCTGCCCTGGTAGTTTATGTGGTAAATGGCCGAGGTGTTCTCCAACAGCACAAGCACATGCCGACTTCTCAGTCATGGCAAAAAATGAACAAGACCCAGGTGCACTACACGCAGCTCCAGCACAGTGATGTGGTCTCCCGACAGGAAAGCCCGATGCCTCCATGGCGCCAAGCAAGGAGGCATCAATATGACACCTGGAGCTTCCGGCAACAGTGCCACTTGGCATTCAAGTGGAAATCATTTGGCCATCTCTGCACAGGGTAGGAAGACAATGGCACCCGATCGACCAAGTCGTCCAACAAATGGAACATCTTCAATACCCGATTGCAGGAGTGCAAGCGTGGCCTTCACATACACCATATCCTGTTTACCAGTTATAGTAAGTTCAAATAGAATTGTAATAGAGAACTCACCGTACCCTAACTTTCAAATCTAGTTATAGGTAAACTCCGCGCATGTTCCTGGTGTGCTTCTCCAGGTTCCAGCAGAAATAGTCACCACTGCGCAAGGCTCAAAACCATCAAGTCAAGTACCAGGACACCACTCTATGAATCTATCAAGATGTCAGCACAACGCTCGCCAAAAAGAGAGTCACGGTCAGCGATTTTCAAGTGAGCTTTGTCGGCCTGGCTGCGCATCACACACGGTGAAGACACATTTACCTTCAACACATCTAATGAAGCCCAAAGCTTATTCGACCAGTTTTGGCAAAGAGCAAAATCAAGTGCTGTACATCACGTTTACAAGTTTGATACTGTTGATTGTTAGAACTGCATCATCGAATTAGAATTGCAATTTCATACACGATTTTTTTTCAAAGTCCTGTTCTAATGTAATTTAGATGATCAACAAATGTATTATTTAGGGAAATTCAAATACTTAGTGTTATATTACTTTAACCACGAGTAGTTTATTTATTTATATTTATGAAACATTTACAGTATATTCTTGTTGCTGTTGTGTCGTTTGTGCGTGTTATTATTTGAGAAAAATGTGTTACAGTGATCCCTCACTTGTCGCGGTTAATGGGGACCGAGACCTCCCGTGAAAGAGGAAAATCTGCAAAGTAGGTACCCCCCTGTACATGTACATGTGTATTAGTACCGTATTTTCCGCACTATAAGGTGCGCCGAAAAGTCTTTCATTTTCTTAAAAGCTCACAGAGCGCCTTAAAATCCGGTGCGCCTTGTGTATGGTCATTACGGTAATATGTCGACCCCAAGATAGCTCCTTGCTAGAGACATGCTTACAATGTTATAACTTGCTATTGGTTCAGTGAACTGTGTCGCTGCTTGATTAATTAAGTTTTCGTTGCAGCTCCGAAAAAAGGAGAGCTCGGTGTTGTTTTTTTTAAAACACACACTTTATTAATGGTTTTCACTTTCTTAACAAATACAGGTACGTCTTTGTCCGTCTCCGTGCCTTCTCTTCTTCCGTTCGACTCGAGAGGCGTTCATGACCGTCTCGGAAAAACAGAAATTAGCGATTCCTTCAATGAAACTAGGAAAATTGAAAATAATGCATCAAAACAGAAAATCAAGCGAGGAAATCACAAAATAAATAAAATCACAAATAGCCCGACAACATGATTTTTTTTTGTGATTTCCTCGTTTGTGAATACAGTACACAAGAAAGTAATAAATAACAAACACTTCTGAGACAGTCCAGTCTCTTCCAATTTACTGTTATCTGATCGTTCAGTTGCAGCTACGCTCAAGGAAATGCCAAAATAAATTCTGTCGGGGGGGCTATAGAATTTATTTTGTGATTTTCTGTTTTGATGCATTACTGTATTTTCAATTTTCATAGTTTCATTGAAGTAATCGTTAATTTACGTTTTTTGGAGGCGGTCATGAACACCTCTCGAGTCTAACGGAAGAAGAGAAGGCACGGAGACGGACAAAGACGTACCTGTAGCTCAATCTAGTGGATGCATTGTAGATTGCGCCTTATAGTCCAGTGCGTGCAATATCTGAAAAAATTACAAAATAGGCCATTGATTGAAAGTGCGCTTCATAATCCAGTGCGCCTTTTAGCATGGAAAATACGGTATATATATTTATAAGGCCAAATTTAATGGTATACATGCATGTAGAAGTAAATGTAGTAATTAACATTCCTTAATGCTATATACAGAGATGAAAGTGGACTTCCCTGAAAATTCCGGAAAAAATAAAAAATTATATATGTGTGTGTGTGTATATATATATATATATATATGCATGCATGTACACTATAGGTAAGACCCTATAGTGTACCGGCCCGACCCGAATTTCGGACCTAAAAATGTCAATCATTGCTTCGGGTCGGGCTTCTCTCTCGCTGATTTTTTTTTTTTTTTGAGGCCGTGAATAGTTTTGGCCACGAGAGACCGTGGTTCGCAAAAAAC